TGGTAAAATATGTGCTTTTTGTGTAATACAAAAAGTAAAAAACACTTTTCAGCCAAAAATGAGAAACGTTTTTTAAGTTGAAGTCGTCACTTGAAAACACTAATTTTAGTTTTTTAAGCCAAAAGCCGAGAAACGTTCTTTTTAAGCTCTTGCAATCAAACCCTTAATTGAAAACACAATTTATCCATCACGTCAAAATTGACTTACTAGCTTCAATTTTTTTACTGAGATTGACACAAAGAATACTTTTTTGGATACTTCGATGAAATTCTTTCCACTATATATATCATACGGGGTCAAAATTTTGAAATTTGAGGCAGACACCCTCCGTGTCTCTGCCCTTGTATTCAGATTTCTGTTTATCAATTTTTTTTGAAGTTACACTACTATAAACACTTTGAGGGTGTTTGGCAATTGCGTGTTAGTCGTTGGTGGTTGGCTGATTCTGTTAGCTGATTGCTGATAGCAGATTCCGTTGGCTGTTTTTATCAGCTGATGATATTAGCAGTTTGTAAAATGATGTTTGGTTAAATGGTTGTTACAATTGGCTGATAATTTGATAAATGACTTTTAAGGACATCATCATTACTAATTAGTTTTATATATGTATCCTACATTTTTAATTAATTTTATCAATACAACTAGTTAAACCATTTTATTTTCTAAAAAGTAAAATCCACTAACGCATGCAATAATTTCTTACTTATTTTATAATCATAGTGAATGCAACACTTGCACGGAAAATAAATCTAAGGGTAATTCATAATACAATTTCAAGTCCAACAATTGCAACTTCAGAATAAAATCCACTAAATGGAAGAAGTAATAGAATTTTTGAAAAACTAAACTGAACTTCACAGCTGCAGTTGAAATTTGAGAACATAAGAGTCAAGAGATCTTTAAAATAGGTAGACAATTTGACAAAGAAGAATTAAAAGTATATAACCAAGAACGATGATGATGAACTTTAGGATTTGGCTTGACAGTGACTCCAACACAACAATCTGGAGAAAACGGAACCCAGTTCAGGCTCCGATATGCTTCAATAATAGAACTGGTTATAGTTATAGGCGCAGAGCAAATCAATCATCTGGCGTGGCCGTATGGGTAGAATAGGAAAAATGAGAAATAAACTGAGCTGATGGTTCCTAAACGCTGAGGTTCAAAGCGTTTTCTATTTTGGCTTTTTGACACATGTTGGTCCAAAATTGGACGCTCGTAGGCTATTAGGAAAGCTACGTACGACACTCAACCAGGAAATCGGGAAAGTAATACGAATATGGAAAATTGCTAAGGGAAGTTTAGTTGCCAAGAATAGCTTATAGAAATCGCTTCCCGGCCCTAATCTGAATTACAACCCGCCTTTTATAGGCGTATACAAATCGTAACCGCTACCGATAATAATGACTAATTAATTACAACATTGATACGGAATGAAATACATAATTAATAGCGCATTAGTTGCTTGACCGTTACTCTTCCGAGCTGGTAGGTCGGCCGAACTGGCAGGCTCCCCGAACAGGAGTTTAACTCGCCGCCCGAGGTTAGTAGTTCGAAGCCGCAAGTTGAAAACTTTTGAACGGGTGGCTCGTCTCCCCGAGGTGGAGTGTGATGCACTAGGAAAAGGTAAGAGCACACAAGAACTCGTATGAAGTCAAGAGTGTGCGGCATTAACATTTATATTGGAGCTTATTAATCGTCACACCCATATGTCGTGACCCGGTGGTGCGACTGTGTGTGCTCATCCAGTGTATGAGTGTGTGCTCGTCTGGCGTACTTGACTGATCAGATTTCATAAGTCCATTGTTCAATGTTAAAATTACACACACTGAACAAGAGTAAAAGCAATCACATCACTTAAAATATCTTTTCAAATATTTCAATTTATGATTTTTTTTATAATTTAACAATGTAAAATTGAGGAGTACACTTAGCTTTTCTGTTGTTTGGAAGCTCGGTCCAATTGAAAAATCAATTCAGATGGGTTTGGCCCATATGCACTCGAAGCTCAAACACCAACCGTGCAAAGTGAGCACCTCTCCTAACACCCTGTGCAAAGCCTACGTGACGGCCAAAAGACCTCCTTCTCCAGCGGAAGTCTATCAGCCAGAAGGGCGCAAGGCTGCCCATTCGCATCAGTGAGGTTGGATACGACAAAGCTTCATCAGGCAGCACCTGTGCCTGGGCGAGGTCGCTAGGACTCCAGCAAGACCATCGGAGCTTCCTCAAGCGGCGACTGACAGGGGTGCACTGGTCCACGATCTGTCACACCTGGAGCTCTTAGAGTCCATTAATGACAGATATTTAGGGTCATTCCCCTGTCATGGTTCAGGCTCCTACCGTCGAGCCGCAAAGGTGACCAGATGCGACGCCAGCAGGCGTGTGGCAGAGACGGTGGAGCTAGCTGCAACGGGCGGCGGAGCGAGCTGCGACAGGCGGCGGAGCGAGCTGCAACTTGAGAATGGGTGGGGAGCTTCTGCTATGGAGAGTGGCAACAACCAGGATGCGAGGACATCTCCGGCTTAGCACTAGGGAATCCCTAGATCTAAAATTCCATCTCCGGTGGCAGGGACGTGGCTGCCATTTCTGTCGGTTCTCGAAATCCCATATCTTCTTCGTTGATGATTTTTTTTTGGCAGACCAGTTTTGGACCTCCTGTGTGGATGTTGGTTCACTCGCTTAGATCCGAACCTCCATTCCATTTCCTGACGAGATTTTTTCTTCTTTTTGCAGCTTTTGGATTACAAATCTGTAAAAAGAGCTAGAGACCTTCGATTCGCCATTTTCTGTGAAATAATTTCCTACTAGAGTGATGAGAGAGACAATAGAGACTCTCAATTAAAGCACCAATGTTGGTCCAAAATAGGACGCTCGTAGGCTATTAGGAAAGCTACGTACGACACTCAAGCAGGAAATCATGAAAGTAATACGAATATGGAAAGTTGCTAAGAGAAGTTTAGTTGCCAAGAATAGCTTATATAAATCGCTTCCCCTAATCTGAATTAGAACCCGCCTTTAATAGGTGTATACAAATCGTAACCGCTACCAATAATAATGACTAGTTAATTACAACATTAATACGGAATTAAATACATAATTAATAGCGCATTAATTGCTTGACCGTTACTCTCTCGGTTGGGAGGTCGGCCGGACTGGCAGGCTCCCCGTTGGGCTGGCAGGCAGACTCCAGGTTATGAACTTGGATCCATGGATCCAAGTTCGGGGCTTGGGCTGATCAATCTCTGGGCCTAGTCCCATTACTCCATCGACACAAAAAGCTAAATAGAAAAGCCATTTACCAAACACATCAATAGCTGATTCATGTGGTCAAACAATTAAGAAATAGTCAAATCAGCCAAAAAATGGCTGATAGACTTAACCAAACACCCCCTTTGTTAATAAATACTCCTTCCGTCCCAAAAAATTATTCCACTAATCATTTTGGGATGCCTCAAATCTTTTCCCATTTTCCTTTTTGGAATGTTTTTTATGCTAACATTCGTTTATTTTTTTTATTCAACTACATGATACATTTTCACTCTATTCTCAATTCCTTAATAAGAGACGGATTTTTTTTGGAAAGCGAGTAATAGAGAGTGATACTCGTGGTCAGCACATTACCACTTGGCCTTTTAGAGAACATTATACATAAGTTGGTAACATAAGACTTACTGATAGAAAAAGAAAGTAAAGAAGCACTAATTAGTAAAATATGTATTTTTTGTGTAATAGAAAAAGTAAAATACACTTTTCAGCCAAAAGTCTAGAAACGTTTTTTAAATAGAAGTTGTCACTTGAAAACACTAATTTTAGCTTTTTAGGCCAAAAGCCGAGAAACGTTTTTTTATGCTCTTGCAAATAGATCCTTAATTGAAAGGACAATTCAATTATCCATCAGGTCAAAATTGATTTACTAGCTTCAATTTTTTCTTACTGAGGTTGACACCATGAATACTTTTTTGGTTACTTTGATGAAATTCTTTCCGCTATATACTTCGTATATCATACGGGGTCAAAATTTTGAAATTTGGGGCAGACACCCTCCATGTCTCCTCCCTTGAAGTCACACTATCAAAAAGACTTTGTTAATATATGTCCCTTCCTTTCCAAAAAAGTCTTCTCACTAATCATTTTCGTTTTTGGAAAGTTTTTTGAGGCTAAATTTGTTCATTTTTTTTAAATCACAATCATACATTTTCACTTTATTCTCGTTTCTTTAGTAAGTGTGGGAAGATTTTTTTTTGGAAAACGAGTAATAAGACTTGCTTTTTAGAGATAACATTAGACATACGTTGTAACATAAGACTTACTAATAGAAAAAGAAAGTAAAGAAGCACTAATTAGTAAAATATGTGTTTTTTATGTAATAGAAAAAGTAAAATACACTTTTCACCCAAAAGCCTAGAAACATTTTTTAAATAGAAGTTGTCATTTGAAAACACTAATTTTAGCTTTTTAGGCTAAAAGCTGAGAAACGTTTTTTATGCTCTTGCAAATAGACCCTTAATTTAAAAGACAATTCAATTATCCATCGGATCAAAATTGACTTACTAGCTTCAATTTTTTTACTGAGGTTGACACCAAGAATACTTTTTTGGATACTTAGATGAAATTCTTTCCACTATATACTTCGTATATCATACGGGTCAAAATTTTGAAATTTGGGGCAGACACCCTCCATGTCTCCTCCCTTGTATTCAGATTTCTGTTTATCAAATTTTTTTGAAGTCACACTACCAAAAAGACTTTGTTAATAGATGCCCCAAATCTTTTCCCATTTTCCTTTTTGGAAAGTTTTTGAGACTAAATTCGTTCATATTTTTTTCCAATCACAATCATACATTTTCACTTTATTCTCGTTTCTTTAATAAGTGTGGGAAGATTTTTTTGGAAAACTAGTAATAAGACTTGGCTCTTTAGAGATAACATTAGACATAAGTTGTAACATAAGACTTACTAATAGAAAAAGAAAGTAAAGAAGCACTAATTAGCTAGCTAGGAAAGCTCAGGTGATACAAAGAGTGGAAAGAACACATATATGGAGTAGGGAATAATTAGGAGTGAGGTAGGGTCATATATGGCCGGCCTGAATTCTATACATATAGCCGCTCGTGAATCGTGATTGAGATCAAACAACAATTTTATTAAGAATCCACACATTCCAACTAAGCAGTTCTACTTATTAGATATGGGAATGCTGTCCAAAATAGCTACCAACGATGGGCATGGAGAAAACTCGGCCTATTTTGATGGCTGGAAGGCTTATGACAGTGACCCTTTTCATCCAAAAAATAACCCTCATGGTGTTATTCAGATGGGCTTAGCAGAAAACCAGGTAATTAATTACCGAATTAATCCTGGCTTCTCATCTTTTCGGCCTTTTCGTTCTGTCCCACTAAAATTGTCTCATATCAAATTTGGTAAAGTTTGTATGATTCAAAACATTCTTACTTTATTTTTATATAATCAATTCAATATCAATCACATAAATCACTTTTCTTAATAACCGCATCATACATTTATTTCCCGATGATAGTGGGACTGATAGTAATAATTGTGTGCTGCATTGAAGCGCGCTTCTATCTTTTTAATAATTGAGTACAATCCCACCAAAGATCATTAATGAATTAATTGTTTTTTGCAGCTCTGCTTTGATTTGATTAAGGAGTGGGTAGTAAACAACCCCAAAGCATCCATTTGTACGGCTGATGGTGCAGAAAAGTTCAAAGATATTGCTCTTTATCAAGACTACCATGGATTACCTGAATTCAGAAATGTAAGAATCTGTATACAACCAAACCTAGCATGCTTTGATTTTTGTTGTTACTATTTGTTAGAGTCCTTCGTTGGAGAACTGATGCTAGAAAAATAAGCATATATGATCTTCTGTTGAAGTAATAATATGATACCTAAAAGTTCATCATTATTCTATTAGTTGTTACTATGTACTTAGTTATGTTCTTAGAATTAATTATTATAATTAATCGGGAAAACTATTAATTTGATCTTTGTATTATCACACAAAAGTCAATTATGTCCTCGTACTTTAAAAAAATCAATCAAATTCTCGAACTTTGTAAAAACATTCGATTGTCAAATTGATTACAGGCTGTAGCAAAATTCATGGGAAAAGTATGAGGAGACAGAGTAAAGTTTGACCCCGATCATATCGTTATGAGTGGAGGTGCAACAGGAGCTCACGAAATGCTAGCTTTCTGTTTGCTGAATCCGGGCGAAGCCCTTTTGGTCCCAACCCCATATTATCCCGGGTATGATTTTTATTTAACTTCAGTTTCTAAATCTAAATAAATGTTAACATATTTCTAACGAGTATATTGGTTGAATATGGTACAGATTTGATAGAGACTTGAGGTGGAGAACACAGGTTGAGCTTTATCCGGTGGTCTGTGGAAGTTCGAATGACTTCAAACTTACAAGAAATGCACTTGAATCAGCCTTTAAGGAAGCCTTAGACCAGAACATAAGAGTGAAAGGCTTGCTCATTAACAACCCTTCCAATCCACTCGGTACCGTTCTTGATCGGAGGACCCTCCAAGACATTGTACGCTTCATCAATGACAAGAACATCCACCTCATATGCGATGAAATCTACGCAGCCACGGTCTTCGACACCCCCGAGTTCATCAGTATAGCTGAGGTAATGCAAGAAGTGAGATGCAATCAAGACCTAATACACATTGTCTACAGCCTGTCCAAGGACCTAGGATTTCCCGGTTTCCGGGTTGGGTTAGTTTACTCGTATAATTCCTCTGTTGTGAGTTGTGCGAGAAAAATGTCGAGTTTCGGGTTAGTCTCAACTCAAACACAACACATGATTGCTTCGATGCTTTCGGACGAGGAATTTGTAGGGAAATTCATCCATGAAAGCTCGGAGAGGTTGAGGAAGAGGCATCGGGATTTCACGAGAGGGTTGTCCCGATTCGGTATCAACACACTGAAGAGCAATGCAGGCCTATTTGTGTGGATGGATTTGAGAAGGCTACTTAGAGAACAGACATTCAAAGCGGAATTAGAGCTATGGAAAGTGATCATTCATGAGGTGAAGTTGAATGTATCCCCTGGAGGTTCTTTCCATTGTTCGGAACCTGGTTGGTTCCGAGTGTGCTTTGCTAATATGGATGAGGAGACTATGAGGGTGGCGCTTATGAGGATATGGAAGTTTGTGCTTCAAGCGGAGGTGTGGTCCGCAAAGAAGAAGTGCAAGAGAACATTAAAAATTAGTTTATCGTTTCGGGGATTGAACGATGTTGGTTTAATATCTTCCTCTCCTCACTCTACTATGAACACTCCCTTGGTCCAGGCAACCCCGTAACAAATAATGGATTTCTGTTTTAATAATAGTCAATACTATTTTAAAATGAAATATAATATGGATTATTAAATATATTAATTAAATATCAATTATCACATTACTAACCTTAGAAAGTTGTATCACTCAAGAATCTTTATTCGAACGTCATCCACTCTGGGCAAATAGATCTGTTACGTCGTCACTTGTAAAGAATTGATGAACTTCAATCTTGTTCCGTTTTTTATATCATGTCCGGAATACGTCTTTAATGTATTGGAATGTATTTTATCATGCTCGTGTTAATATGTTACTATGTTTAACATAGTAGCATGTTATATGTATGTCTCGTAAAAATAGTTGTTGGAAACCTCACAGAAAAATAAATGTAAGAAAAGAGTACATAATATATGCAACTTACATGTTATATATTGGTTGTCTCATTAAAAACCGTTCACTTGAAAAATTCAAAAGGAAAATTTATGTAATGTTAAGGAATTTTTATTGTGTTCAATTTTATTTATTATCTTTGTATTTGTGTGTTAATTGTATTAATTAATAAGGTCTGGCCAGATCTGAATCTAGGCCCATTTTGTAATGTAATACGTAGGTTAGCCCATTTTGTATAAAAGGAGGCTAACATGCGTAAACCTAGGTTAAGCATTAGACGAGGCATCGAATGAAAAGAGAGAGAGTGTGGCACTTCATCTAAGCTTGTTGAATACCAAGTTAAGTAATTCTCTATTATGCTAGTATTCAATAATGTTGTGATTCTACTCTCATCTTCTTTGTTGTGCTTAATTTATATAATTCTCGTTGAGACTCGATCCTATCAAGTAGTATCAGAGTAGCGTGTATCTGATTGAATTCATCTGCAAAGTTTCACATCTGCTATAACCAAAGAAAATAAGCTTTGTATAAACTTATCTTTTGAGAAGAAGAGGATCGAAGATTCTGTTTACAGAAGAAAAATTATTCAAAACATGCGAAACAGAGATTTGAGATGTTACAATCGAGATTCAATTCCATACGAAATAGAGAGTGATCGAAAAGAAGATTTAGAGCCTTAGAACCGAAAACGCCAACCCTCGAGAACCCTCACCACTGAGATCCTAACCTGAAATCCCTTTACCCAAGAATCTCAACCACGAGATCTCTAACCCCCCGAGATCCTTTTCCCCGAAATCCTTGTACTCGAGATCCTACCCATTAAACTCCACACATGAGATCTTTTTACCCGAGAACCTAACCCTAGAGATCCTACTCAATAAACTCCACACCCGAGATCTTCTTACCGAGAACTTAACCCTCGAGATCCTACACCCCAAAATTTTCCCTCGCAAAACCCTTCACCCACTACAACCCCTTACTTGAAGTCCTAGTCTCAAAAAGTCGCAAACCATACCCCCGAGAACCATACACCCGCGATCACTCACCACCCAAAAATCCCTTGCCTGAGATCCTCACTCCCGAAAACCTTTACTGTTTTGGTCATAATTTTTGACTCGATGGTCTGATTTAGGTAGTTAAGCCCAAAAACAGGAAGAAGAGATCTAAAAGACTCCCAGGGTGTAACCCTGGACCCAATTTTACGTCCCCTCACTCCCGCTCTTTGACAAAAATTTCTTCCATTTTTCAAAAAAACATTGTTAATTACCAGGTCAAAGTCAAAACATAGCTCAATTCAAAAAGTCAACTCTTCCAAACTCAAACCAAAGGTCAATCCTGATTACAGAATCATGCAGATAACTCAATCAACCACATGTTAATGATCCATACCAGACAATAAGAAGTGGATGCCTACTCCAACTCATCAACGCTCTCAAACAACGAATCAATTGTTGGAAAAATGTGTTAAAAAATTGCATTAAATGGTCATTTTGGGGAAATTATTTGAGTGGGGTCCACTTCCGATTTGGGTCGGGTCAAAGTAGTTTCGGATTGTCCTTGTTAAGGGCTACAATTCGATATGTGGTACACTCAAAACGGATAACGGGTGAATGAGAAATTGATTCTCGAAGTTCACTCGTTGAAATGGAAAAACTGGGAAAAATGATGAGTTTCTAGTGTGTTTTATCCCACACCGAAAAACTCAAGGGATTTTCACCCCCTTATAAAGGGAAGTCGCTTTTAAGGAGTTAAGATTCCTAAAGGGAAAGGCTCTCTCTTACGCGCAGGGGGGGGGGGGGGGTGCCGATCAAATCCCGAAACGGAGAAGAAAAACCGCGACTCGTGTGCGCGGGCGACCTGCGGACACGAATGCCGTCCAAAAATCTATCTTTTGGACAGAAACCCTCCAAGGGGTGTTATGCTGGCTTCAGACAGAAACCCTCCAAGGGGTGTTATGCTGGCTTCAGACAACAAATCCTCCTATTAATAGCTGGCAGATGCTTTGCAACAAACACACGGTTTGACACAACACACAATACATTCCTCACAAATTTTTTGAGCTAAAAAACACATACAGCTACTCTGCAAAACTCCTTCTGTGTTAATAATTGGTTCTCGTTCGCTGGAACTCTTGTTTGTGTGCTCAAACATTAGTTCGTAGTCATCGTATCCTGGGAAACGATTGTTGCAACGCTCCTAGCACCGTGGGAGGCAACAAATACGGTTTAAGGAAATCGTGCGTAGCACGAGCTTTGACTAATTCTGCTTCATCTCCTTTCTTGTTTTTCTCTAGTCATTTTATTTAATTAATTTATTTTAATTAATTATCTTTATTTTCCGAAACACACCAAACAATCTTAAAACGTATTTGTTGAGCTTGTATCATACGGATACAATCTTAAAACGTATTTCTTGATTGTTCTACTGAGGTAAACAATCTTAAATCGTAGTTTGTCACTTTGGTGAACGAACTTATTTTTTGTGTTTTCGGAAAAACGTTAAAGAACGAAAATGACTTCTCAAGAAAACGAGATTGGTGTTGGGCAGAATGTTCTGAACGAAAATCACTCTGAAAGTGGAGCATCGGTGAACAATGCTTCACAACGCGGTGCATCTACTTTGGCCAACCAAAGGGCTATCCCTATGGTGACCGTGCCAAGCAACTCTGTGGAGAAACTCGAGAAATTCAACGGGTTAAACTTCAAGAGGTGGCAGCAAAAGATACTATTTTACCTCACTACTCTCGGTCTTGCTAGATTCTTGACCGAAGATGCGCCGGTAGCAACCGGGGGTGAGGTGGATGCGCAATCTTTCAACGCGGTTGAAGCTTGGAAGCATTCTGACTTCCTTTGCCGAAACTACGTGTTGAACGGGCTGCATGATGCTTTGTACGACGTGTATAGCAAACTAGCTACGGCTAAGGAGCTATGGAATGCTTTGGACCACAAATATAAAAGCGAGGATGCCGGCGCAAAGAAATTTGTTGTTGGTCGATTCCTTGATTTTAAAATGGTGGATTCGAAGACGGTCTTGAGTCAAGTTGAGGAAATGCAAATGATCTTCAACGAAATTCGAGATGAAGGAATGACAGTTAGTGAGTCTTTCCAAGTGGCGTCAATTATCCATTTATTGCCGCCGGCTTGGAAGGATTTCAAGAACTACCTTAAGCATAAGCGAAAGGAAATGAACTTGGAGCAATTGATCCTCCGTCTGCGGATTGAAGAGGATAATCGGAAGAACGATGGGAAACTCCCAATTGTTCATGGCGCCAAGGCAAACGTGGTGGAGCATGCAAAAGGCTCCAAAACCAAGAATAATGGGAAGAGCAAGCTCGGTCCCAAGGGAGGCATTTCCAAAACAAAGTTTAATGGAAAATGCTTCAATTGCAACAAGAATGGACACAAGTTCTCGGATTGCAAGGCACCACGGAAGAAGAAAGACTCCCAAGTCAACTTGGTGCAAGGTGGGCAAAAGGATGAAGACATCATCCTAGCGGCTGTGGTTACGGAAGTCAACCTCGTTGGATCCAATTCCAAGGAGTGGTTTGTGGACACCGGTGCAACCCGTCATATTTGATCAAACCGGGAGTTATTCACAACTTTTGAGCCATCAAATGGTGAGAAAGTGTGGATGGGTAACTCGGCTCATTCCGCGGTTGAAGGTGTGGGCAAGGTGGTCCTGAAGATGACTTCGGACAAGGAGCTGACTCTAAACCAAGTTTTGTTCGTTCCGGAAATACGCAAAAACCTGATTTCCGGAAATACGCAAAAACATGGCTTTCGCATGGTTTTTGAGTCGGACAAATTAGTTTTGTCTAAATCAGAAATGTATGTGGGAAAGGGGTATACATGTGATGGGCTGTTTAAGCTCAATGTAATGACTATTATTAATAATAATAATAAAATCCTTCTACTTACTTGCTTGAGTCTTCCAATGTGTGACATGGTAGACTAGGACATGTTAATTTTAATTCTATACGTAGATTGATTAACACGGAGCACATTCCTAAATTCACAATTGATGTGAAGCACAAATGTGAAATTTGTGTAGAGGCAAAACTAACGAAAACGTCTTTCAAATTGGTTGAAAGAAAAACGGAACCACTTGAATTAATTCACAGTGACGTTTGTGATTTTAAATCAATACAAACACGTGGCGGTAATAAATATTTTATTACCTTTATCGACGATAGCACTCGCTATAGCTACGTTTATTTATTAAAAAATAAACACGAAGCAATCGATAAATTCATTCTTTATAAGAATGAAGTGGAAAACCAACTTAATCGACGGATTAAGACGGTTAGGAGTGATCGAGGTGGTGAGTATGAAGCACCAATTGGTGACTTTTGCGGTAGTGTGGGTATAGTACACGAACGTACCGCACCCTATTCACTTCAATCAAACGGTGTTGCCGAACGAAAGAATCGCACATTGAAAGATATGATGAACGCGATGCTAGTAAGTTCGGGCTTGCCACAAAATATGTGGGGCGAAGCAATCTTGACAAGCAATTACCTTTTAAATAAGGTTCCCCGGAAAAAAATATGATAAAACTCCGTACGAGTTGTGGAAAGGCAGACGGCCTTCCTATCAATATTTAAAAGTGTGGGGGTGTCTTGCTAAGGTGCTTGTACCAACACCTAAGAAAATAAAAATAGGTCCAAAAATGGTGGATTGTATTTTTATTGGATATGCACAAAATAGTAGTGCTTATCGGTTTTTAGTGTACGATTCGAATAATCCGGATGTACATAAAAACACAATAATTGAATCAAGGAATGCTTCATTCTTTGAAGATGTATTTCCATGCAAGTCCAACGAAGGGCCTAGCACGTCAAAACGAACATTTGACGTAGCTATGGAAAATA